CCTTGATTTTTTTTCTCTTAGAAACAATATCTCGCGAACAAGTGTTCCTATGCAAGTGGAATTAATGCATCAAGAAGCCTAATGTTTCCTCTTAATAATTCTGTTTTCTATTGTATAGATAATTTTACTATGTTCATGTTATGGCTCTTTTAAAACCATAAAATGTATTTTTTGTCATTATAATCCCTTTTTTGAAAACAAGCTTGAGTAAGATACAAGATCTTTATAATCATATGAAAGAGCTTTCATTTGCATATCGAATGATACTAGTTAGGGTTAGAATCCATGAAGCATGAGTTTGTTACAACAGAAAAAGGGCGAAAAATGAAAAAATTTTGTTGTACCTATAACTCGTTGCAAAATAGCGTTGTAGATGTAAAAACCTTGCTGCGGGTAGTCCTAAACTTTCTATATGGAACGGTAGGTATATCATAAGTAAGCGTCCTCTTGGATTTCCATAAATATCCTTCGAAGTCCTTGCAGCACAGCCTCACTAATGGAGGAGATGGGAAATCGACCAGGTATTGGGCCGGTAACCAATAGCAACATCAACTAGCCTACGCCCCCGTTTCCAATCCCTTTCATTTACTCTATTATCTATGGACAGATCTGAGCATGCGCAACCACACCCACATTTTGGAGCACATGCTTCTTTAATTAACAAAATGGCGGAATGAGGTAAGTTGACTGGCAACGATAGAGAGAGGGCAACTTTTTCTAATTGTTAGAGTTATTTGAAAAGTTGTGGACCTGCGCATGGATAGTTGGAGTAGAGTGGTGTAAAAATTAGCCTTGTAGCATTGTTCAAAGACCATGATACCCTCCATTAACCGATTGACAGGAGATGATGATGATGAAGATGAAAAAAAGTGGCTGAACAAAACGGCCGGTTCGCCGATTTTTGGCTTTTCTCTTAGACAAGGTCTAGAGCCACGCTATGGGTACCAATGGAGTCCTCTGGTCAAGATAAGGTCCTCTATAAAGTCTGGTAAGCATAGGAGCTCGTTTTCCCAGTATAGCAAGGCTGCAAAAGTCGTGGCAGCCATATTGTTTTGGGGTGAATCCTACTTAGTAACGCTACCGCGTTACTAATACAAACATACAGTTTTTAATACAACACAAAAAATCTAGTGGTACTCTCAGTGGTTGTAGTTGAATGACGCACACAAGTGCCTTTCATATCAAATAACATCATGAATAGTTACATGTATATATACAGTTTTTATGCAGCACAAGAGCTCATGCTATGCTATGCTATGTAACTAATAGTAATAGTAGTATGAAAAGCAGCTGAAATAAATTGGCTTTATAATGGAGCACATGATACTAACTCTTTTTATTTAACAAGAGTACCAGGGTCATATTGTGCTTTAGTATAATTTAGTGAAGCATGTACCACCTGGAATGTTTTCTGTATTTTTAGCTACAGTGATATTCCCTTTTGGTACTGGATACCAGGTACTGGTAAGTATAACTTAGTCTCGTGTAGCCAGCCCCTCCCTCCGTCTACGAGAGACTAAGTATAACTGGCTACAATCTATCACTTCCAGTGCTATTTGAGTCATTTGATCACATTTACACGACAGCAAAAGAATGCTATCAGTATGAATTTGTATCTTGTGCTACATTCAAACAATGTGTTTCCCCCGGGCTTTTTGTCTCAATAGTAAAATTGCTGTTTTGCTTATTGATATTCTCTTAGATCTACAGACTCCATTTTTTCACCATCAACTACACTCTCACCCTTCCCTTCATCTGTTGCAAGTTCATAGTTCATATCTTACTCCTCTTACTCCTTCATATCTTACACCCTCTCCCTCACCAATATCATGTACTGTTACAATTAAACTATGACACTCATCTTGTTGTAAAACATGCTCATCTGGCTCCTATTTAAACCCTGATGAATGTACTTTTGGTATAAAGACTAAATTAATGTTTATTGGGGTGAGCCTGAGTGAACCCAGCGCCCCACAAAAACGACACAAGTACATACACATTGGTCACAGTAAAATAATAATGGTGGCTGAGCTTGCAAGTCACTAAAGTCAGAAAGATAAGAGTTTGTAGTCAACTGCAGCAAGGAAGGTTAAGAAAGCAGATATGCCATGTTCTCCATTGATGTAAATCACTCTGATCAAGTGAATGTCATTCACAGCCAGAGACAGCCTGAACTAACTTGGAGCATGCAAGAAGCCAGAAACTACATTGCTACAAGTTGCCTATCTAGCTACATTTATATCATTTGTGCAATGACTGCTTATAGTTATTTTTAATGCTATAAGCCAGGTAACTTAAACTGCTGCAGAGATTACAAAGGTATAAAGTTCCTTCTGAGGCTACACAATCATGCATGAGTATTGTTAGTCTGTCAATATCTATTGAATGCACATTGCTGTGCTTGCTTAGGCTTGCCCCTTAATGTTTTACATTTGCCTAGTTATTTATATGGTTAATGTTGATAGATCCATGTGAGGTGACTTATTGTTTAAGATGTCAGTTACTTAATTCCAGTTGTTGTACTGAGTGTCAATTAGGATATGAAATAAATGATTGTAAATGTGAGGCGGTAGGTAAGCAGAAAATCAGTTACTATTGTGTATAAACATGCCTCTTTTTCCCTTATCCTATCATTCTTCATCAGTTAGATTGGTTTCTTCTTCACTTTTAACGTTTGTGCTAGTGCTCTGTGTTTGTATTATTATAGCATTTTTGATTGTGATGATTGCTTGGAGGAACAGAAAAAAAGAACTTGTAAATTTGGACTTGCGTTGTGCTGGTTAGTGAAACTGATAATTTAGTTTGATATTTTTGTGTGGACAATTTGTCCCATTTAGACCGCTTCAGAATTCCTCTAGATTTGAATTCAGCTTATCAAAGTAAAATTTTTATTGTGATAAAAATTTATTGTGAATTAAAGAAGGACACGATCAAAAAGATGAGAGTCATGAGACATCTACAGATGATACTGTTATGAAGCAGTTGTTGATCAAATATTTAATACCGTCTTCACAAATCGATATACAAGAAACCATTGGCCAAGGTTTAACATTGTGGTCAGTATAGACATTAACACTGTTTGCATGCATTAGGTGAGTTCGGAATTGTTTATAAAGCAACTATAATGGATAAAAGGCGACAAGAAATTGCTTTAAAAACACTCAAAGGTACAAGTGATACTTAATAGCTAATGAAAAAATTTTGAATAAATTTAGGAGCATTTTCAAAGAGTGATGTCAATTCTCTTCTTGAAGAGTGCCTACTGATGTCAAACTTTGATAATCCTAACGTGCTGTCTCTCATTGGAGTGTGTGCTGACCTGGGATCAGCTCCAGGCATCATCATGCCTTATATGTCAAAAGGAAGTCTGTTGTCTTATTTGCAGAAAGAGAAATCTCACCTTATAGTGGGAGAAACCAGTGAAGAAAGCACAGTGCTAAATGTTAGGAAACAGTTACTCTCTGTGTGTCTTCAAGTTGCTAATGGAATGAATTACTTAGCTTTACAAAGGTTTATTCATCGTGATCTTGCTGCTCGAAATTGCTTGTAAGCATAACAGCCAATAGAAATGTATTTACTAGTGGTGACTAACGTTAATTATCATAGGATTGCTGATAATGGTGTCATCAAAGTTGCTGATTTTGGCCTATCAGAAGAAATTTACACAAAAAATTACTTTAATCAATTTAAAAAGTCAAAATCTGTTAAACTCCCAGTCAAATGGATGGCACTTGAAAGTCTTCACTATGGAATATTCTCTGAAAAATCAGACATGGTCAGTTTTAAATGATATTATTAGATCTAGAATGGTTCAATTCTCACACATACAGTGGTCTTATGGTATTTTATGTTGGGAAGTCTTTAGTGCTGGGAAAATACCATACCCTGGTATAGATCCAATAGGATTAGTGGAACTATTGGATGGTGGGCAAAGGTTAAGCTGTCCTCATAATGAAATCTGCTCAGAAGACATGTATGCATAATAATAATAATTAGCTGTATGATGATATATTTTTTGCTATATATATAGTTATTCCCTGATGCGGCAGTGTTGGTGTGAGTCTCCTGATGACAGGCCATTGTTCAATGATTTGGTTGCATCAGTCAATGCTCTCATTATGCCATTGGCTCCATATCTCATTGTCTCCAATGACTCAACCTTCCAACTGAATCATGATCACATATATTATTGAATACACTGCTTATGCCTTTGGGACACTCACTGCCTTTGTTTGCTTTATACTAGCCTTTTTGGTTTTATTTCAGTTTTTAGACTCATGCTCTATAGTCCATAGTGTGTTTGTGAAATTATTAACAGAGTATTTTATATGATTTAAGCTGCCATTATGTGAACATTTGTTGTGAGTGTACAATATAGTTACAAAATTTTTGTTATTGTTTGTGTCACCAGTTGATGATGTCATAAATTTGTTTAGTCATCAGGAAAGTAGTTTGATAGCAATGATGAGAGAAGTAGTGCTAGTCTTTGTTTTATGTGTTCTGTCACTATCAGTTGCTCAGGATTGTCCTCTACCAACAATAGCTGAGATAGAGGCTGCATTGAATACATTACTGCTCAATTCTGGTTTGGCGGTGACTGGCTGAGTAGTTTAAAAAGATTGAGTAGGATTCACTTTGTGCTAATTTGTCAAAAAAGTAATGGAAACAAATTGACAAGTAGGATTCTGAAGTCTGAACCATCAGCAAAAATTCAAAATAAAAATCCTACTCTTGTGACATAAATTCTACTCTACAATGCAAGGTAATCTGTGATATCATACATAATACGTTGAAAGTACAATGTAGAGTAGAATTTGCATCACAAGAGTAAGATTTTTATTTGCATTTTTGCTGGTGGTTCAGAATCCTACTTCTCAACTTGTTTCCATTACTTTTTTGGCAAAGTAGCACAGAGTGAACCCTACTCAATCTTTTTTGAAAAAGGTAGAGGGACCTTGACCAAATTTTGGAGTAACTTTGACAATTCATAAAAAAATCTAATCTTGCTCAAATTTAATATACAACATAAGAACATGTATACCTATCAGAAAAAATTATAAAAATGGAGAGTTCTCTCCTAGTCACTTTTCACAAAATTTGGCCAAATTTTTTAGCAAATTTAAAAATTCTTTTAAAATTCAAAATTGATCAGAATCAGCTCAAACTTTCTATACAATATAAGTACATGTGTGTGCATCAGAAAAAAGTTATAAAAATGAAAAATTTTCTCCTTGTCATTTTTGATGGAATAATTATCATGGTATCATCAAAATGGGAACCGTCAAGTTTATTGGTGACACTGAATCTGCTCCTGGCAAGTGGATACGTGTGGCTTTAGACCACCCACAAGGTAAGAGAAATTTACAAAACTATAATTTTATTATTAATCTCCCCCAAAAGGTAAAAACAATGGCAGCGTCAGAGGTATAACATTTTTGAAGTGTAAGGATAAACATGGCATGTTTGTATCGAGGGACAAGATAATCCACGAGCCCTCATCCTCCCTCTCTGCCTCTCCTTCCACTCATTCAAGAGTGAGCAATCCAAATTAAATGATTGACTATTTTATCTTTGTCCATTGTCTATTTGCATCATAATTTTTTATCATGATTATTATTGTTGTTCTTGTTTTGCTGTTTCGTTGCTCATTGACTCTCTGTATCATGTGACAGTCATGTGACTTGCTCCTGTGGTCATGTGACTGCATGTAGTGGCTGTTTTTTATTGCAAATTATTCAGATTTTTCAATTGAGAAAACAAGTGATAATTACTCCAGTTATCATTGTTTTTTTACTAATAGACAATGCAGTATATTATTAATAATTATTATTGTGAAAATTAAATTCTTTAACTCAATTATCATTATTAGTATTATTATTATTATTATTATTATTATTATTATTATTATTATTATTATTATTATTATTATTAATTGCACATAGCACTTGAATTTATTGATCTACATGAAAACCAGCCTATAACCAAATAAAGAATATACTAACGCTAGTATTTCTTGCAATGTGTTTCTGATGATCACTTAGCAGTTGATGATGTCATAAATTCCTTTAGTCATCACAAAAATAGTTTGATAGCAATGATGAGAGAAGCAGTGCTAGTCTTTGTTTTATGTGTTCTGTCACTATCAGTTGCTCAGGTTTGTCCTCTACCAACAATAGCTGAAATAGAGGCTGTTTTGCCTCCTTTACTAGTCATTACTCTCCTAATGTAACTGAAGGATCAGTTCGATATGTCTGCCTAGCTCAAGGGAGCATGATTGCTACTTATGAAGCCATAGCTCTTATAGCTACATTCACTCCTAACCCAGGAGAACCTGAACAAACTAGAATATTTGATATTGAATGTATCAGTGGTACATGGAGTGGAAGGACTGGTAGTTTAGATACTCCTCCTCCCAGTGTTGTTGGTATTCCTCCAAGAACTGATTGTTATCGGTGTAGGGAAGGTTTTGGTGGTGATACTAGATGTAGAGGTAAGCCAATTAGAAACTAAAAAATAATAATGTTATCTTATGTAGCATGTGACAGTGCTTGTAATTTTGGACTGATGAGGTGTACTGGATCGGGCTCTGGTGATTGTTGTTTATCATTTGCTGCTAATGGTCAGTGTGATGGTAGCACTGACTGTACATCATCAGGTCCTAACTATGTTGCTACCGAGAGTAATAACTTCACTTGCAGTAAGTATTATAATTGTATTACTATTATCATCATACTTCATTATTAGCTTGTAATTTAACCTGTTCTATCGGTTTTACTATTAACTCTAATTGTACTGACTGTGATCTCTCTAGTATCTGTGATGCATACAGTCCATGTATGAATGGAGGACAGTGTATACAGTATTCACCTCCTGATAATTATACTTGTGATTGTACTGGCACTGGATACCAGGGAGTCAACTGTACTTTTGGTGAGTGCTTTGAGTGGACCGAACTATTGGACGTGTATTAAATGTAAATGATCCACTCACTAAAATCTATTTATTATAGTATGTTGGACTCTTGTGTGGGCTTGTTTACTTTGCACTGTTGCACTATGTAGTTTATGCACTTTTAAGTGTTATTTTGCCATGCACATGCAGCAATGACTGTTTGCATACCTACATGTACATGCAATTAGGCATGCTTCACTATGAAGGAAGTCATTGTTCATTCACTAGATAAACAAGGAGAGCTATAGTTAATTAAATTCAGTGATATTTTTGTTTGATACCGGTATGTCTCTCACCTCTTTCTCATATTCCACTGTATCTTACACCACATATAGGGATGCCCTCTTCCACTCATTCCTCTACTCCTTGCTCTACTCCTTCCTCTACTCCTTCCTCTACTCCTTCCCCTACTCCTTCCTCTACTCCTTCCTCTACTCCTTCCTTTACTCCTTCCTCTACTCCTTCCTCTACTCCTTTCTTTACTCCTTCCTTTACTCCTTCCTCTACTCCTTCCTCTACTCCTTCCTCTACTCCTTCCTCTACTCCTTCCTCTACTCCTTCCCCTACTCTTTCCTCTACTCCTTCCTCTACTCCTTCCTCTACTCCTTCCTTTACTCCTTGCCCTACTCCTTCCTCTACTCCTTCCTCTACTCCTTCCTCTACTCCTTCCTCTACTCCTTCCCTATACTCCTTCCTCTACTCCTTCCTCCACTGTTCCATCATCATCTCCTTCACCCTCACTAATATCATGTAATGTCACAAACTGTGACAACTGTCAAAACTCTGGCACTAGATACCAGGGAGTCAACTGTGCTTTTGGTTAGTAAGTGTTAAAGGCAGTGTTAAAACAGATTTTGTAATCTTTTTAAGAGAGTCACAATATAATTTATTGTATATAGTAACATTATAATTGTGTAAGGAGCTCTTTTATATAGATCCTGTTGTCATACAGTAATAATGATAATTAGACATACTGTATCTATTTTACTAATAGGTTGCTTTCCTCATAATTGTAAGGAAGCATATGAAAACGGTAAAGTATGCAGTGGAGTATATACTGTGAAACCTGATGAACTGCCAGCCTTTAAGGTAAATATATTAATATAAACAGTATATAGAACCATTTATAATAATGATATTTTGCAATGTCCCAATTGGTAAAAAACCTGTACAAAAGTACCTCTAAAATGAGGACACCTCTGTATTAAGGACAGGTAATTTCAGTCTAATGGTGTCTTTAATAAAGAGGCTATACACTGTACATGTATTAAGGACAGGTAGTGTAGGCCCAATGGTGTCCTTAATAAAGAAGCTACACTGTAGCAGCATATAATTTGCATTATAGGTTTATTGTGATATGAGTAATGGAGGTGGCTGGACTGTATTTCAAAGGAGAATGGATGGTTCTGTTAACTTCTACCTCAACTGGGCTGACTATAAAAAAGGATTTGGAGACCTCAAAGGAGAGTTCTGGCTGGGACTTAACAAAATAAATCGACTTACAGCAGGACAAAGCACTAGGCTCCGTGTTGACATGGCAGATTTTAATGGGAATAAGAGGTTTGCTACTTATTCTAAATTTAATGTAGGGAATGCAGTTACAAAGTACAAACTGACTGTGTCTGGATATAAAGGCAATGCTG